AGACCAAAAAAAACCCAAAAACCATACATAGTTAGGTACCCAACCATATACACTTAAAATATGATTCGGACCAAAACAAAGGAAGGAAAAATCATTTTTAAAATTTCAGGTTAAGGCAAGTTTTATTTTCTCTCTTAAATAATGTAGAATTAGAATTTCATCATCTTTTTCTCCAGTAATGGTCTTAATTCTTTCCCCCTTTAGTACTAGGGAATCAAACCTTCAGCCTTGAACATGCCTGGCACGTATTCTACCAGAGTATTCCCTCCCTACCCCTAGCCCTTTTGAGACAGAGACTTGCTATGTAGCCCAGGCTTGCCTTCTGCTTCTGCTTCCTGAGGGCTGAGATTGCAGACATGTGCCTTCAGGCCTGGTCACAGCCTTTTGAGACTGTTAACAAAGAAATGGTAGAGATGAAGAGATAGCTATACATTCTTCCATTTTCTCTACCTAAAAAAAATCATTTTACACACATTCTCTTTTATATTCATATTCCAAAAAGACACCCTGAAAAATAAGAGCAACATAGGGGCTAAGAGTACTTGATGCTCTTGCAGAGGACCCAGATTTAATTTCTAGCACATACATGCAAGTTCACAATTGCCTGTAATGCCAGTTTTAGGAAATCTGATACCCTCTTCCGGCCTTTGAAGGCACTAGGCACGCACATAGTGCACATACATACATGCAGGCAAACACACACATAAAAGAAAAATAAGTAGTTTTTTAAAGAGCAAGTGAAAATTTGATAGGCTATTCTAAAATGTGTATGGTGTGAAGCAAAGTCCCAGAAAAATCCTGCATCTTGGACTGAACTTCCTGAAAGGCTGTGGAGGGTTTAGAATGTTGCAGATCCAGAGTCTTATTTATAGTTAGCCATTCTTTGCCCACCTCTGTTTGACTTAACATCTTCTTACTAACAGATAAAAACCTTTAGGAATGTATTAACAAAACCCTAGCTCCCACCAACCAAAAGGCTTAAATGCCATTAGATGGCATCTGAGGTCTATAGCTGAGATTTCGCTTTTGCTGTATCCACCTACTTAATGTTTCCACCAATGTACTTGAAAAGTGTCTTCATTTATGACTTTTCTTTATTCTGTTACTATAAAAACTTCACGAAACTGCTTCCATGCTGGAACATGGAATTTGGTGTAACTTGAATCTGTGTTCCTGGGCGTGGTCACATATTTGGCTCCAGAATAAACTCTCTTATCCCCTTTGAGATAAGAGTTGTGCTTTTACATCAACAATGGAGAGACAATTATAATAGAACTGGAGAATTTACAAAAACAAGCACCGTGTTTGGCGGTATAGGCCTGTAATCCCAGCTATTTGGGAGGATAATGGTAAGAGAAACTCAAGTATAAGGCCTGCCTGAGTTACAGAGCAAGTTCAAGGCGAGCCTGGGCAACTAGGCCATCTCAAAAAACGAACAAATAAAAAAAAAAAACAGGTCAGGGGACTGGAGAGAGGACTTAGTGGGTAAAAGAATCTTCCACCAATCCTGGTGACCTGAGTTTGAGCCCCAATTAGATTATTAAAAACAATAACTATAGAGCCAGGTATGACGGCACATGCCTTTAATCCCAGAGGCAGAAGTAGGCGGATCTCTCTGAGATCGAAGCCAGCCTGGTCTACATAGCAAGTTCCAGGTCAGCCTGAGTTACAGAGAAACCCTGTCTCAAACAACAAGACAATAAGACAACACCATTTTTAATACATGCCTATTACTGGCAAATAATAAAAATATAAGTAAATACCCCATCCTGAAATGTATGAGTATCTTTATCAGTGGAAAATTTGAGTTTCTCCTATCAAAGGAATTCACAGGCATTCCTTAAATGGCTTGATGTTATTTCAGTTATCTGAACTCCTAAAGAAAAAATAATCAAAAAGCCTCTCCTCCCTTTTCCTTCCTCTTCCCACAGAAAAGCTGATCTTAGCCATTCTTTTCCTTACCCTTCCAACAATTTTCACCACCCAGAAATTCACTCAGAAGTGAACCATTGCACAAATTCTTAGGGAGTTCAAGATCATTACTATTGCTTTTATCAGCACTGAGCTCTGCGGTTTTCTGTGACACACTTCTCTCTTAATAAGTCCTCAAAGTTAAAAACTTAGTTGGGCATGATGGCACATGCCTATAATCCCAGCACTCAGGAAGTGGAGCCAGGAGGATCACCTATTGAGTCAAACAGCAGCCAAGTCTAAAAAATATATAATGATAGTAAAGATAATTTAGATCACTGTAACGTTTGTTCCACTCACTGGGGCAGACACAAGATTAACCTAGGGCTGGATGTAGTGGTGCACACCTTTAGCCCTAGCATGGCAGGGGCAGAGGGCAGAAGACAGAGGCAGAGGCAGAGGCAGATGTCTCAGTTCTAGGCCAGTTACTGCTATAAAAAAAGATCTTGTCTCAAAAACAAAACAAAAAAACCCCACAGAAGTAATGAAAGACAAATCAAACTGCATCATGATATAAGTAGTTCTACCTTTGTAGCCTCAGCTGGCCTGGAACTCACTATATAGACCAGGCTGGCCTCAAACTCAGAGGTCCACCTGCTTCTGCCTCCCAAGAGTTGGGATTAAAGGAGTGCGCCACCAAGTCAGGGGGTTTAGTCTCTTTTTAAAATTGTAATCATTGTCCATTGTATTTTAACAAGGCAATCAAGCAATTAAACCTCTAAATGAACAGTAGTAAAAAAGTAACAATAGTAACAGTAACAAAGGTCAACTTTATGAAATGCTTTTTAAATAAATCACACTTCTGCCAGGTGTGGTGTACAACTTTGACCCCAGTAGACTGAGGCAGAAGGTGGATCTCTGTTAGATCATAACGCCAGTCTGTCTACTTAGCAAGTTCCAGGCTAGTTAAGGTTACAGGAAGACTCTGTCTCAAAAAAAACAATATAAACTTACTGAGCCCATGCCTGTCATCCCAGCACTCAGGAGAATGAGTCCTTTCAGAAGGCTAAGGCAGGAGTATCTTGGGTTCTTGGACTATATTGTGAGTTCTAGGCTACCCTAGGCTATATGTCAAAACCTTGTCTTAAACAAACAAAATAATAATAGTAATAGTAAACATCTCAATTTTATTTGTGCTTAATATAAATTTATGAACAATTACAAAAGCATTATTTTAATGCCTGATAGCACATATCTATCATCCAGCAGTGAGGAGACAAAATAAGGAAAACTGGGAGTTTAAGCTACAGTTTTCCTGTCTTAAAAAGGAAACAAAAGTTGACCTAGAGAAAAAGGTAATAATGAGGGAAACAGAAAAAAAAAAAAATATATATATATATATATATGACAAACAGAAAACAAAAAGCAATATAATAGAAATCTCTCATCAGCAATTATTACTATTTGAGACACAGTCACACAATATAGCCCAGAATGGCCTCAAATTTTCCATCCTCCTGCCTCAGTGTCTGAGTGTTAGGATTACAGGCATGTCCAATAGTGGCTGGAACAATTACTTTAAATAGAAAGCTGGAGAGTCAGCTCACTGGTTAAACCATGTTGCTCTTCCAGAAGACCTAAGCTTGGTTCCTAGCTCACAACCACCTGTTAACTCCAGCTCCAGGGGATCCAACACTCTCTTCTGGCTTCCACGGGCACCTGCACTCACAGTCACATATCCACACACAGACACACACATAAGACTCACAGTCACATATCCACACACAGACACAATCATAAGCACATAATTAGAAATGAAAAGAATGAATTAAGCTCTCCAATCAGAAAGGAGAAAGATTAGCAAAAAGGATTACCAAAACCTGATCTGCCATATTTGCTTTACAGATTTGCTTTAGATTCAAAGGAAACAGATTGAAAGTAAAAGGATGTGAAAAGGATATTCCATTCAAATAAAAATGCCTTTTTCTGGCGGGGTGGAGTGGTGGTGGGGGTGGATAGGATAGGATACCACTATAAAAGCACAGGCTACTATAAACTCAGGATCCTCCTACCTCAGCCTCCCAATTCCTACCTCAGCCTCCCAATTCCACTCTACCTGGCAACACTTCACTTTGAAATTCTTCAAGCTTGCTGATGTGCTTTGTGTGCATTTAATACAGCACAAATGTGATTCTTACCATGGATTTCTTCACATTCTTGTAGTATGGGTTCCATCCTATGCTCACCACCATCTTATGGACATCTCCACTTCCCACACTGGCCCAACCATAATAAATGCCAGTGGATACATCAGCTGGAAGACTGTCTACCACTTGTTCTGGAAAATTGGCTAAACAGAAGAGATATTTAGCATTATGAGTTTCATATCAGATATTGGTTAAAATCACATGCAGACTAGTCTAAATCGTTATACTCAGGATTCTGAGGCCCTTGACTACCAATCCAATTCTTCCATATTTCTTCCATATGCTACTTGGATTTCTTCATATGCACAGGTTAGGGAGGACACACAAAGCAAGGGTACGAATATTTCAAAAAAGCCACACAAAAATCCCTGAGGAGCTGGAGAGATGGCTCAGCGGTTAAGAGCACAGGTTGTTCTTGCTAAAGACCTGCGTTGGAATCCCATCACTCAACTTCGGCTAACAACGGACTGTAACTCCAGTTCCAGGGAATCCGATGCCCTCTTCTGTCATCCGCAGGCACTGCATAACACGGGTGCACTTACACACAAGCAAGCAACTCACTCATACACATAAAATAAAAATAAATCCAAAAAAGAATTTTTAAAAAAATCATTGAGTGGAAACAAGGCTCAAGGTAAACTGTAGGAGATTCATGGGAGTTTACCCACGCCTCTAAGAGTGAAGGAGATCTTGAGTCCAGGTATTAGGCTAATCTGGGAAAGTGACACCCTCTTAACAGCAAAAAGCCCCCAGCTCTTTCCTAGTAGCGTTTCTAAGTAACCTCTGAGTCACATGAGAAGACTCTTATTTTCAAAATTCACAAAATCAAATCCCAAGTTCAAAGATCAATGTCATAGGTTAAGGGCAGCCCCCCTAGGTGTTTTTAAGGTTGATTACTAAAACCTATGTAGACAAACCCAATAAACGCTGGCTCTCATCGACCACCTGTGCCACTTGAGCACTACAAAGCATTTTAAGGAAAGAACTCTATCGTCCGCTTGAGAGCTCGGCTAATCCAACCTGCGGTACTTTCTCAAGGGCAGGCCGGCTTGGCAACTCTACCCTGCTGGACTGGGAAGCGGGAGGCGACCCCGGGACTCATCTGGGCTTCCAGACCCAGGGCCCGGGGATCGACAGCTGCGGGCCAGCGGCAGCAACGTCTCCCAAAGCCGCAGTGCGGCTGACGCGGTCCGCTGACCCGCAGGTCCCACAGCCCCACGCGGCCCGCGCTCACCCGTGGGGATGCCCAGCTGCTTGGAGCCGCGGCCAAAGCCGCGCACCACCTGGCCGCGGCAGAAGTACGGCAGGTTCCTCATGACGCCGTCCGCCGGGGACGCGGGCTCCTGCCCGCTCGGCGCCTGAGGCGGAGCCGCCGTGAGTGCGGCGCCCGGATCCGGCCAGCCGGGATCCCCGCACGAGCTGGACTGACGGCGCGGAGCACACGCAGCGGAGACCTGGCCAGGGGCTGGAGTAAGGCGGCAGTTCGGCCGGAACTGCGACCGCAGCGTCTTAGGGACGCGGGGTGGGCGGGGAGGGAGGAGGAGCCGCGAGAGCTAGAAGCCCAGCCCAGCCGACATGCTCACACTTCCGCGGTCGAGGTCCCGAGCCCCTCTGATTCCGTAGCCCGCCTGCCGTAGCCCCGCCCACGTCACCGTGGCCCCGCCCTCGCCCGTGTCCCCACCCCCAGCCTGTCCTGTGCTCCCACACCCCTACTTCCGTTCCCTTCTTGAGACTGGGAGTTTTTCTATAGCCTTGGCTGTTTCCGGTCTTCCTTACGTAGCCCAGGCAGGCTTCTAGCTCGTGGCAATCCTCCTCTCTCAGCTTTCTGAGTGCCGAACCCCTATTGTGGAAAGCTCTGTTTAGAACGGCCCCCCAATATTTCTTTGTCCTGCATCTTTTTCTATAAAATCTTGACACCAAAGGGAAGCGTTCTGAGCTCCTTAGCAACCTCTAAGCTGACGTCACTCTCCCTTCACACTTTAAACATTTATTAAAGCGCTACAGTTCAGCTCAAAGATCACTCTCGGAAGTGGCTCTCTACCAAGTCTCTGACCAAGGTCCAGAATGTAAGCTGAGGAATCATTCACCTTTCTCTAGGGGGTGTCGTTGGTAATTTGATAAGCGTAATAAAAGGTTTGACTACAGCTGCAATGCAAATGAAGGCCTTCTGACCTGAGTTACACACTCCCAAGTAGCTTAATATTTCAGTTGTTCGATTTTCCACCACAAATGTGTATGAAATTCTGTCCAGTCTTTGCAGCCACTTTTATGTGAATATAACTGAAAGTGTTTAGCTGATATTAAAAATGTTTTCTCGCCTTTAGCCCCAGCACTTGGGAGGTCGAGGCAGGCGGTCTCTGTGAGGTAGGTCAAGGCCAGCCCCGGCTACATAGTGACTCCCAGGCCAGCTAGGGCTACAGGGAGACCCCGTCTCAGAAAGACCAAAAAAAAAAAAAAAAAGACATGGTCTCATGTCTTGTGTAGCCACAGCTCAGGCTGCTCCAAAGTCATTATGTAACTGAGGATGACCCTGCCTCCTGTTTCCCCTTCTCGAGTGCTGGGATTATAGGAATATGCCCCTACACCTGGGTCTTAAATTATTTTTGAATGAATGTGCTACAAGTGGGGCATCGTGGTGAGGGCCTGTAGTTTCAGCACTTGGAAGGCTGAGCCCAGAGGAGTGTTAAAGTATTTTAGAAAGAAGGAGGGGTAAACGCAAGCACAGTCTTAGGTGCTAGGGGAATTAAGGTGAGGTGACTTTAAGTCCCTCAGAGGCTGAGTCTGGTAGGAAGGACTATGGGAAGCTGACACAGAGAAGAGTCTTACAGAAGTCAAATAAACCAGAATTTGAATCCAGGCCTTGCTTCTTTGAATAGCTGGCATATGAAAAACGGTTTAACAAATTGCCTCGCTGGCATTGAGCGTTTAAAGCAGGTGTGGTGGTAGATATCTGTGATCCCAGATTTCAGGATGCTGAGGCAGGAGTTCCAGGCCAGACTGGGCTACATGGAGAGGCTAATTAAGAAAAAAAAAAATTAGTGAAGTGCCATCATACTTGTTATGGTCATCATACAGGAATGAGGCATAACTCTCTTGTTCAGACTAGGTGGGTTTTCTGGTTGTTGTTATTTGTTGTTGTTTGGGTGTTTGCGGGGATGGGGTCTCACTATGTATGTATGCCAGACTGACCTGGAACTCAAAATTCTGCCTCAGCCTCCTGAATGCTGAGATTACAGACATGCTCCAAGACACCTGGCTAATAATGATTTTTATCATACCTATTACACCCACTGTTTTTCAGGCGCCTTACATTAAAAATAGTCGCTATGTCAGAATGGCATTTTTCAGTTTCTTCATTACGAATGATAAACCAAAGTCTGGAGCGAAAGCCTGATAAATCACAGGACATCTTATGCCACTAAGCCCCAGGTTCCAAGGAGGTGTGAGAATTAAGGGAGGTAAAATACTGCCAAGATAAATGAAGACAGATGACTTTAAGAAATAAAAGTTAATGCTATGCTAAGTATATTTCATACTATCTCATCTAATCTTTACATAATCTTTGGAGGAAGGCTTTCATCTCCATTTATAAAGAAAGAAACTTGGAGAATTTCTAAGAGGGAAACATTGAGTTCCTTTTTTTTTTTTTCTTTTATTTAGACAAGGTCTCCCTGTAGCCTCAGCTGGAAGGCAACTCATTCACTATGGGAAACAGGCTGGCCTCGATCTCACAGAGATCCCCTGCCTCTGCCTCCCACATGCTGGGATTAAAGATTTGTGTCACCAAGCCCAGCAATCCAGCTCCAATTTTTAAGCTGACACTGGCCTGTTCCTATGCATGTTCACTGTGTAGTGGCATAGGATATGGAGGAGACAATTCTGGTCCTTTTCCATTGCTCCTCAATAGCCTTCAATGGCTACCTTTTACTCAAGAAAAAAATTGCCTTCCAAAGTTCTATCTCTAAGAACTCTGCTTTATCCCTTAATCAAATCAGACCCCTGTGCACCACTTCAAAAGCAACAATAACAAAATGGGCTGGAGAGAAGATTCAGCAGTTAAGAGCACCGGTTGTTCTTGCAGAGGACCAAGGTTCTGTTCCCAGCACCCATGTGGTGACTACCAACCATCTGTTAATTCTAGTTCCAAGGGATCTGATGCCCTCTTCTAGCTTCTGTGGACATTGCACATACACACCGTACACTTTACATCCCCGTAGGCAACACACTCTTAGACATAAAAATAAAATTATTTTCACGTCTCATTTGATTCAAGAGATACCCTACTGAGCCATCTTGATTATCATTTCTTTCTTATTTATTTTTCTCTTTTTGAGACAGGGTCTCACTGAGCATCCCTGGCTAGCCTGGAACTCACTATGTACACCAGGCTGACCTTGAACTCACAGAGATCCACATGCCTCAGCCTCCCAAGTGTGGGATTAAAGCCATGTACCACTACACCTGGCTCTTTGATTATCTTTTTTATGCAAATCTAGAGAGAGAGAGAGAGAGAGAGAGAGAGAGAGAGAGAGAGAAAATCTTTGACAAACAGTGCTTTTGACCAAGAAAGTATTCAAAATATGCTATTTCCCTTTCTGAACTGCATCTGCAGCATCTGGCCTCTGCCAGTGGGAGAGAGACCTCTGTTTGAGTTGTCTGTGTAGGAAGAAAGATCACACAGTAAAGAGGGAACTTGTGAAGGAAAATACATTCTATCTCCAATAAGCAATTCAAAATGAATCTGAAGAACTTTTAAAACAGGAAAATAAGCATGCCAATTAAAAATAGCAAAAGCACTGAGCAGATATACCACAGACAAAGATAAAATACAGCAAATGAACATCATAAGATAGCATCATTTGTTATCAGGGCAATGCAAATTAAAACAAGGGTGCAGCACTATACATCCATCAGAACAGTAGGATCCCACACGTCCATAACCCTGGCTGCTAGTTATTTATAAAGCAAAACACACTTTTTCTACAAATTCTAGCAGTTAGGCTAGATGTGGTGGCACATGGCTGTGATCACAGCACATGGAAGGCAGAAGGATCTCAATTTGCAGGCCAGTCTGAGCTACATAGCAAGAACCTGTCTTAAGTTTTTTTTTTTTTTT